CAATATTTTTCTATTGGAGCTTCCCTCATTCCTTTTATCGAGCATAATGATGCGAATAGAGCTTTAATGAGTTCTAATATGCAACGTCAAGCAGTTCCTCTTTCTCGGTCCGAAAAGTGCATTGTTGGAACTGGATTGGAACGCCACGTGGCCTTAGATTCGGGAGTTCCCGCTATAGCCGAACACGAGGGAAAGATCGTTTATAATGATACTGATAAGATTATTTTATTTGGAAGTGGGAATGCTCTAAGTATTCCATTAATTATATATAAACGTTCCAACAAAAATACTTGCATGCATCAAAAATCCCAGGTTCAGAAAGGTAAATGCGTAAAAAAGGGACAAATTTTAGCAGATGGTGCTGCTACAGTTGGTGGTGAACTCGCTTTGGGAAAAAACGTATTAGTAGCTTATATGCCATGGGAAGGTTACAATTCTGAAGATGCTGTACTCATTAGTGAGCGTCTGGTCTATGACGATATTTATACTTCTTTTCACATACGGAAATATGAAATTCAGACTCATGTGACAAGCGATGGTCGTGAAAGAATCACTAATAAAATTCCACATCTAGAAGGCTATTTACTCCGAAATTTAGACAAAAATGGAATTGTCATTCTGGGATCTTGGGTAGAAACGGGCGATATTTTAGTGGGTAAATTAACGCCTCAAATGGCAAAAGAATCCTCCTATGCCCCGGAAGATAGATTATTACGAGCTATACTTGGGATTCAGGTATCCACCTCAAAGGAAACTTGTCTAAAACTACCTATAGGTGGTAGGGGCCGAGTTATTGATGTGAGATGGATCCAGGGTTCTAGCTATAATCCAGAAACGGTTCAGATATATATTTCACAGAAACGTGAAATCAAAGTAGGTGATAAAGTGGCCGGGAGACATGGAAATAAAGGTATCGTTTCAAAGATTTTGTCTAGACAGGATATGCCTTATTTGCAAGATGGAAGACCCGTTGATATGGTCTTCAATCCATTAGGGGTCCCTTCTCGAATGAATGTAGGACAGATATTGGAATGTTCACTCGGGTTAGCTGGGAGTATGCTAAATAGACATTATCGAATAGCACCTTTTGATGAGAGATATGAACAAGAGGCTTCCAGAAAACTTGTGTTTTCTGAATTATATGAGGCTAGTAAACAAACATCGAATCCATGGATATTTGAACCTGAGTATCCGGGAAAGAGCAGAATATTTGATGGAAGAACAGGGAATCCTTTTGAACAGCCCGTTATAATAGGAAAGCCTTATATCTTGAAATTAATTCATCAAGTTGATGATAAAATACATGGACGTTCCAGTGGACATTATGCACTTGTTACACAACAACCCCTTAAAGGAAGGGCCAAAGGGGGAGGACAACGGGTAGGCGAAATGGAGGTTTGGGCTCTCGAGGGGTTCGGTGTTGCTCATATTTTACAAGAGATGCTGACTTATAAATCGGATCATATTAAAGGTCGTCAAGAAGTACTTGGAACTACAATTATTGGAGGAACAATACCGAAACCTGTAGATGCTACAGAATCGTTTCGATTGCTCGTTCGAGAACTACGATCTTTGGCTCTGGAACTGAATCATTTCCTTGTATCTGAGAAAGACTTTCAGATTCAAAGGAAGGAAGTTTAATTGGACTGAATCGGAATTTTTATTTTATGATTGATCAGTATAAACATCAACACCTTCGAATTGGATCAGTTTCTCCTGAACAAATAAGTGCTTGGGCAAAAAAAATCCTACCCAATGGAGAAATAGTTGGGGAGGTAACAAAACCCTATACTCTTCATTATAAAACCAATAAGCCTGAAAAAGGTGGATTATTTTGTGAAAGAATTTTTGGGCCTATAAAAAGTGGAATTTGTGCTTGTGGAAATTATCGAGTAATCGGAGATAAAAAAGACCAACCAAAATTTTGTGAAAAATGCGGAGTAGAATTTGTTGATTCTCGGATACGTAGATATCAAATGGGGTATATCCAATTAGCATGTCCTGTAACCCATGTGTGGTATTTGAAACGTCTTCCTAGTTATATCGCGAGCCTTTTAGATAAACCTCTTAAAGAATTAGAGAATCTAGTATACCGCGATGTGTGATTTGATAAAAATTCTTATTGTACAGATTTCGAATGATAAACTGTCATTCCAGTCAATTAAATGGGAATGTCCTATATCTGGCATGTCTCTTGGGATGAGTAACATGAAGCTCAGAATTCATGGGTGTATTGAATACTCCCCAATCAAAAAGGGAATTGGTCTATGGTCAATTCAGTAACAAATAACTATTTACTGTATGTACCTTGTGAAAAAAAAAAAAATACTTTTTTGTGGAATTCATTATTCCATCTCTTTTTTTTTTTTTAAAGAACTCAAATTATGTTCAAAGAATAAAATATATCATGATTGCAGAAGTTTATCTATCGCATATAGGCTTTAAGACATCGTGGCAGACCCGTCGAGGTGACGTCTTGACCTAAAAGATCGAACGGTATGATACATAGACAAAGAAATCTCTTATGAATTCGAGGATATTCCTTTTTTATTAAGAATTTCATTTTAGAGGATTCCTCGTTCGAAGGGAGGTAGACTACTCAAGAATTTTACATTTTATTTCTGTCTTAATTTCGAATTGGATAAAAAATTCAGAAAAAAAAGAAGAATGTATCAATGAAATGTTGCTTGGTCTTTATTGATAACTTGAGTAAAGAGTAAACCTTTTTGATTTTAGATTAGAGGTTTTCCAAAATTGGAAAGCGGAAACCCCTTTCTTTATCTTTAATTGTGTGCAAATACTTTAGCCGGATGAGAGGAAACCC